TTTTTTTTTTTTTTTAAGCATGAAGGGGGAAATGGGGAGATGACATGCAGCACGGGGCCACAGGCTAGAATGTGGCAAGGACATTGCCTTCACATATGGGACACATGCTCTACCCACTAAGCCACCAGATTTAACATGCTAATTATTTAGCTTTAGAGATGTTCATTAGCAGCATCTATTCTTGCTCTTCACCCCAAATCCAAGGAACAGCGCCGGGCTTTGAAGCCAATTTGACATAGTGGCCAAACCATACAATTACAACTCCTCAGTCTATCACTTGATGTCATGGGGCAAGCAGTTGGGAGGCAGGGTAAAAGGAAATGCTAGTGCATTTGCTCTAGGCCTACAGCCCCTGGATTTGAAACATCTGGGAAATTTTATACCTGGAAGTCAAACTTTTTTTGGTGTCGTGTACCACTTAGCAAGGCGTAGATATAACTGCAGCTGGAGAAGCTACATGAACCGCCCTTAAGCAGCCTCCTTTGCTCCTCGGCCCAGAGGTGGAAGTCCCAACAAAATTGCTAAGTTAGCAATTAGTTAGCTATGACGTATTACATTAAATGAGTGGTGGTTAAGGTTAGGATAAGGGTAATGGGAAGGGTTACATCTCATTAAGTGAATCACGTCCTCATGTCTTATGAATTATAAAGTGGATTATTGCTACATGTGGTCTCATTAATTCACTACAGTGTAGACTCTACTTTTTAGCAGAATTTAAATAGCCTTGGTGGGTTTGTCTTGCACTTGTGGTGGGCGTGGTTTGTAGGGGCGTGTCATGTACACTACAAATGGAATTTTTTTCAATAAATTGAAAATGCATCATTAAACTTGAAGCTTCCTCTGCTGGTTATATTTTTATGTACTTGTATCACAGCAGTAATCAGACACTGGGTTTGTTTTCACTCACCGAGCAGGCAGTCCACCTGTGTAGTGTCAGCTTCAGTCTCTGTCATGTAGACCGTGGCGTTGCATGACATCGGCTCCTGGAAGAGCAGCAGGATAGATGATGTTAGGGTTATGATTTGTGTTATTAAAGACTGTATAAGGTTAAATATTTACATGTTTATTTCATCTCATTATTCTTACCTTGCGTCCCTGAGGCAGGTAGCCACAGTCTGTCCAGGGTATGTTGCTCCCAGCTGGACAGTCACTCCTCCTGCTGGTGAACTGCAGTGAGTACACCGAGTCTGAGCCATTCTCTGACTGTAGACACACACACACACACACAAAATCAGTGCTTAGCAGAGGTCAAAGTGTCTAAACATGTTTTCCTAGAATATGGTCACACAGCTTTAGTTTCTCTTGTTTCATCACCGTCCAGAAGACTTGTAATGTTGTGTTTTGTACATATTTGTGTTTGATACCTTTGACTCTATGATTGATAGTCCATTACTAACTTCCTCATACAGTGCATTATTGTTGCATTATTTTTGGGTCTTGACTGCACTCAAAATGTAACCTGAGATAAAGCAGGTCAGGTGATAATGCAGAAAGTCACATTATTTTGCAGTCACTCTACCTTGCTGGCTGTTAGTATCTGATAGAGGGCCAGCTTGTATCCGGTGCTCAGCCTGTCGTTGAACTTGTTAACAGCGCTGTTAACAGCCATCACCACAGATGGATCGTCACAGAAGATCAGGACGCCGGGCTGGACATCCAGTGCCTCCCAGAAAAGCACAAACAGAGGAAAATGTATTTCTGCTGCACAAATTATAAGTTTAACTTTTCTAATATGTACTTTTCCTTGTGAAATCCAGATGATGATGTTACATTTTCAGGCCTTTACTTCTTTATGAAGACATGTGAAGGGGGAAAAGTACTCTTTTGACAGCTTATAAGCATGTACAACATGTGACAAGTAGTTGAAGAAAGTAATAAAGCACATTTACTCAAGTAAACACTGATTCTATTTGTACTTTATACTTCTGCTGCAACAAACTTCAGATGGAAATATTGTACATATTACTTTACAATATATTTGTCTGATAGTTAAAGTTACTTTACAAATTAAGTTTTACACAAAATATACACAAAATATAAAATATTTGATCATTTTAGAAAATATTTTACTCTGCCATGAACTAAAAGTTTAGGAGGTCATTTAAAGGGTCAGTTCTGTTACGTCACTTTTGATATTTTAGTTATATGTGCCATCAGTAATTTCTAAAAAAGACTTTGTGATGGAGTATTTTCTTGGTGTGGCATGTTTTTTTTTACTTGAGTAAAACCACTTTTTACAGGCAAGTTGACATTGCTTCATTTTAAATGGTTACAAGACAAAAAAGTTGGGAATGACTAAAAGACACTGCAAACATGACATGTAATGATGTATATATACATATATATATGTACTATAATATTCAAAACAATTTTCACTGGTGTATAATCACTTGAAACTAAGAATCTTTGTGTTTCCGTTAGCTTAGAAGAAGCTCTTCACATCTGCACAAGAAGTGGGTCCTCTTTCAAGGAGCCTGCTGTGTTGCACCACCATGTTTCTACAGTAGCCCAGAATGAACAAACCAAACACTGGCTCCACAAAAAGCCTGTCACATTGTTACGTTATCTAAGGGTAGTGATTGCAAAATGAAGCCTCATGAAGCATTTCCTTCAATTTCTGAACCCACTAGATGGTTTAAAGAGAGAGGCTCAAAGAATGGCAATTCAGTGTGCTATCAACCTTTTGTTGAACAAAATGAACAAAAACATCGAGTGGGCTCATAAAATAAGGAAAATGCTTCATGAGGCTTCATTTGGTCACTGTAGGAGAACCTACAGTGGCCCTTAGCCTAAGGGCCACTGTAGGTTCTCCCACACTCTTGGAAAGTTAAGGGTGAGTGGGGGATATTCAGTTGGTTGCAATCTGCATCCTCACCACTAGATGCCACTAAATCTGACACAAGGCTTGTTTCAGTACAGTTTTGAAAAGCTTTAAATAAACCTGAGTATTTTGATTTCAGAGGAAAATACTAATCTGTTTACTCAACAAAGGTTTTGTCACAGCTACAGTCACTTTTCATGTTACAATTGTGAACAAAATAAATATGATTATCTTATAGAATATGCTGTATATCTATAAAGTAGTTCAGCAGATAGTCCCAAACTACAACATTAGTAAGCTGCTTGTGTGACACTGCATCGATAATAATATTCAATCATGAAATCCTGACAATGGTCATATGACAGTAGTAATGCCTGATAACCACTTTGTAGCTCTGATTTCTTCCTCCTTACCTGTGCAAAGACTGAGCTGTGGAGGCACAGCAGGCCCAGCACACACAGCCCCACTCTGCTCCTCATCATCTGATCCTGATGGATGTTGTATCTGCTCTGCTACAAGGGAAAGAGACGGTTAATATCACACCAGCTGATTAATACTTTTAACCAATAATGATGATTCTGTACTTACAATGTCCAAAGATGGGGGCCTGCTTGTCAGCGCTGTCAGGTTTCAAAGAGGAAATTCTCGACTCCTCTCCACACGGGGATGGACGACTGAGTGAAGTTCCCCTGAACCTGTGGGAGGGAGTCCTGAGAAAAATGATGACACACTGATAGACACATGTGCAGGGGACAGGAGGTCACCAAGGATACACACACACACACAGTCGTGCTCAGAGAGCTCAGTCGGTAAAAGGAGAGTAAATGTTTGCTCTTTTGTTTGCGCTGTCGAGTCAATACAACAGTCAGTATCAGAGATAGAGAGGAGACCATTTAAGGAGATGTACAAACTTCCTTCATTAGTGACTCTGCAAGTGCAAACACTCTCCTACATCAACACTCATACCAACACATGAAATCACACATATTAGTGTGTGGTAGCAGAATAATCCCCTAACTGTACGTGTTTAGGGGGCTGCTGCATGTGTGTTTGCTCGCTGTGTGTTTTGTGTGTGTTAACTGGTACTTTGTCCCTGTCGACCTTTAGCCTATACCACTCTGATTTCCCCACTGCTGCTCTGTGAAATGAGGTGAAATGTGCTCAGATGTTACGCTCCATATAGATCATAGCATCATACATGACAGACATTGTGTTTGCTTTTTTGTGTGCAAATTTTTGTAGAGGATTACACCAAGTTCACCAATAACAATAAGATCAATGGACATGCCAACTGATGACAACATGCCAAAATCCTTTATGTGCCCCTGGCTAATCATTGGCTCTGTTAAAGTCAAGGAGCCACTTTGGCTCCATCATAAATCTCTGTAGAGATAGGAACAAAGCAAGCCATTTGTTTTTGAGACTAGAAAGAAAAATTAATGCTGTGATTGTGTAACAATCTAGAGAAGAGCATATTTCTTAGAGCATAATTCTGCCCTCTTGTGGTTGTACATGCACCAAGATATACTGTGCTGTTAGGTAGTGATGGCCAAATGAAGCCTCATGAGTCATGAAGCATTTTCTTTATTTTATGAGCCCACTAGATGGCGCTTTTTGTTCAACAAAAGGTTGAAAGCACACTGAATTGCCATTCTTTGAGCCTCTCTTATTAAACCATGAGTGTCATCTAGTGGGCTCAGAAAATAAAGAAATGCTTCATGAGGCTTCATTTGGCAATCACTACTGTTAGGCACCACAGCTAAAGGTCAGTTGTTCTCAACACGGAGACTGAGACCTACTCAAGAGGTGGCAAGTCTGAATCTGAGAGGCCACGAGATGCAGGAGAGGAAAGTAGAGAAAAAGAGGAAACATTTTCAAACTTGAAATGGCGGCCGAGGATTGTGCGACCATGAACGTTGCTGCATTATACAAATACATGTGTTTTCTGCACTAAGCACCACTATGCTCTTGTTGGATATAAGCCAGCAGTATGTTTATTGGGTTAGTTTAGCAGTCTGTAATGATTTGGTACTGTGAATGATAATGCAAATGCTAATGCTAGTTTGCTAACAAGCTAATTTGCGGTCGTCATTTAAGTAAGTGCACAACGGCCATGTTTGGTTTGAGACAACACTACCCTGTCGAAATAAGTACATAGTGCACATAGTATACTACATGTAAGTGTACTAATGGAAGTACGCAATTTGAGACACAGTGTTGAACCTACTCCTGTTGTTGCTCTATTGAGCACTGATTTTACTTTTGCTCCTCAAAAACACTTCTTGTCTTGTATATTTTGCCAGATTTTTAATACTCCAGTGTTTCTAAAGCAGGGCCCAGTGAGTGACCCTGACCTGTGGGACACACTGGTTCTGGTTGTTACTGGTTATGAATATTAATTGTTGTGACTGTATTCAGTGTTACCGTAATCTGAAGCATTCTCTGGCACATGAATTTCCTTCAGGATAGATAAAGTTCTATTGAACTGAACTGAATTATAGAATTATTTTACTTCTAATAAATTCAAATAAAATACATAAAACGAATGTTTTGTTTCGAGGAATAGTTCAGTATTTCAGAAATAACCTTATTCACTTTTGCTCATGCTGGAAGCTGGATGATAAGATTGACACCACTCTCATATTTATCTGTTAAATAGTTACAGTACAGCCAGCAGTTGGTTAGCTTAGCTTTGTCAATGCTGGAGGAAGTACTCAAATCTTTTACTGAAAGGAATACATCCCCCCCCCCCCCCCGAATGATGATTTGTATATTGATTACTCACCCTGTGTTGCATTGAATTTGGGAAGTAAACTTTGTTTTTTGCATGCCTCCACAGTGGCCGGAGGGGAACGGAGAATCCAAAAACAGTGAACATTCCTAATGGATTGAAGTCATAGGGGATTGTGTTTCATGGCAAAATTACACCAAAACATTGGTTTACCAACTCTCGCACAGCTCGTACAGTATTGTCTGACTCACCTTTTTCCAGTCCTCTGCTCAGTACTTCTCAAACACGTGCATTTTGGCTAAAATGTTACTTGACACTTCGGCATAAACAGCGCAGGTGCACTATTCCTTTGTGCCTGAGAGTGTTTATGCAGAAGTGTTTTTAAAGGTAAGGTTTTAGTGAAAGTTAGTAGGTTATTGGCAGCAGTAGAAGAAGGCTTACTCAAAACTTTTGTCTAAATAGCGCACAGTAAAAGTTAAAGTCATGCAGTCGGTAGAGGTATCATTAGCACCAAGTCTGTTTAAGGTTGAACTTTTAATTCTTTTCTTTTTTTTGAAATATTTTTTGGGGCATTTTTGCCTTTATAGATAGGACAGTTGAGTGTGTGGGGGGGGGGGTTAATGACATGCAGCAGAGGGCCACAGACTGGAGTCGAGCCCGGACCACTGCAGCAACAGCCTTGTACATGGGGTGACTTCTCTATCCACCAAGCCACAGATGCCCCAAGCTTTTAATTCTTACACAATGCTTTATAGTTTAAACAATAATTATGCATCATATTTTGCTATATTTTCTTCTGTAATCTGGATCTTCAGCATCACCAGTAACATTTATATGTCATCTATATGTAGTGGTACAGTGTTTTCCTCTGAAATACAGGTGTGCAGCTGCTTTTTTAAGGGAGCTTTGGGCGCTTTTTGCAAGGTATTTTGGGGTATATTGAGTAAGTATAGTAACATAATTATTTTTTATATTCAAACACCATAATTGATGTTTTTCAACCAGTTATCAAGCAAATAAAGTTAGAGTTATGTGTGGAGTCATCTCTGATCGGCAGCTTGGCTGAGAGGCTGAGAGGCTACATGGTTTGTCTGTTTAACTGATGTGAAGTTGCCATCAGAGGTGTCAGCAGTCTCTGCACCACCTACTGTGAAACTTTACTTCCTCTGCACAGCTCATCTAGGTCTAAAGGTGTTCGACAGTTTCACATTTAGCCTACAAGCAAGACCACTGCTGCAAAACTCCCACTGCACTCAGCATCTTTTTCTGTAGCATTATTCTTTTCTTTTCTTTATTAAACATGAGGTTAATAGGTAACACAGGTGGATGGTCTCTTATCTTCCTGGCTGCTGTTATTCCAGGTAAGTTTGATTATATTCAAATCTCATTTCACCACCAGATAATGGGCTAAACTCTCTCTGCACACTGTTGTTTGTCTTTTCTCTTTAACTCACCTCAGTAATTATGAGACTTCAAATGAAACAACTCAGAAACATATTAGCTTACATGATGCCATGCAGCAATAACTACTGTTTTATCCAGTAACCAATAATCATGTGCACACATGCAAGGTTAAGTGGTGGTCTTCATAATGCTGTTTCATCTTCTCCTTAAAGAGTGGTATTTCCTTGAACATGCAGGCGTGAGTGCTCTCTGTTCTGTGTCATAAATGAGTCTGATCTGGTTTCCTCTCCCACACAGTGATTGTTGTTTAGTGGTCTTCAGTGCTCTCACATCTCAGTCTTCTCAGTCTGTGGTTTAAGCAAATAGGTTACAATGATCAGAGTAATTTTTAATGTAGTAAAGCACTGCCACCACCACATTCACAGTTTTTTTTCCAAATATCTTTAAAATGGAGCTTGTTAAGGAGGGAAATGTATCAAAAACTGTAGAGCATGAAAAAAAACAGCCTAATTTTCACTATATCATTACAACTCCTAAAAATCTTTTTTGTTATAAAGTGTACAAAGCTGACAACAAAAATGTTAGATGGGATTTTTTTTCATTGTCTTTACATTGTTAGCAACTTTTACTGTTCCAAGATTCAGTTAAAGCTCTGGCCGGACTAACAAAGTTGACAACTAACCTCTGGCCCCAGTCATACCCATCTAGTTTACACCCAGTGGACCTGTTACATTTGGGTCCACTGGGTGTAAACTAGATGCACATAATTTGATTAATTCCACGTTTATAGGGATATCCAACACCAAGCTACAATTAAAACCAAGGCTCATTTGATATAGCTTGTTGCTCTGTCTTTTAGGGGGGCCCTGTGTCAAAATATACTCTATATTGTGCTTTAATGGTGAATATTCCTGATTAAAGTTGTGTTTTATCAGATTATAATCCAACATTTGACAAACAGAAAACCTGAAGCCAGGTGGTACAGCATGTTGAAGTTCTGGCTAGTTTCTACATCTCTGGGAAAATAACTAATCATGCAGTCTACTATGTGCACTTGACTTCATTTATTTGGAAGTGCTACTTTTTTATATAACAATTAGAAAAAACCTCAGGTGATAAACAGGCATTGAGAGCAGCATATATATTCCTCCACAGGTGTCCACCTCCAGAAAGGCGACAGCTCCATCCAGCCTGCCTCAGACTCTGGGCTGCCCTCTGAGGCTCACATCTACCAGCCGGTGTTTCAGCCCTCTGAGGCCTTTCCTCCAAAAGGTGCTCACCAACACAACACTAGATTAATAACAAACATAAAGAACACAAGCACTGGTTTCTGTAGCCCATCTATTGTAGAGGGAATCACAAATATGTTGCAAGAATAACATGAGTAGTGACAGAATGAAAATCATGTATATTACAATACAGACAACAATTTAAGTGTCTATAGGAACTTTTAATAAACTTAATAATAATCATTAATAAGAGTTTTAAAACAATTACACACAATTTGATTTTTGAAACATTTCAGCAGCATAAAAACACTGATACACTATATAAAATGAATACTATTGTAATTTGAAATACACCAACAATGCCTTACATGGAGTGTAAAGCCCAACAACATGACTAGGACATAACGCTAGTCGTACTCATCTGAGATAATACATTAATTATCTGCACCACAGATAGTTTACTCACATTTTAAGGTAAACTCTACTGGCATTACAGTCCAGTTTTACAGTAAAACTTTCTGTAACTGTATAAAGGAAAATCTTTTGTGTGTCTGTCCTTGTGTGTATCTGTGTGTGTGTGTGTGTGTGTGTGTGTGTGTGCTTTGTGCGCAGGGACCTACATGCTGAAAAACCATGATGGGAAAACCTGCATTAAAGCCACCATGGGAGCAGAGTACATTGTCATCGAAAAGAAGGTCAGAGGCTGTGACTCAGCAATGTGTGTGTGTGTGTGTGTGTCAGGGTTGTTAATTTGTGAACAGAGCGTATTGGAAACGACAATCAGCTCTCTCTAAGACGTGTGTACTCTGCTGGCTGAGGCTTGATACATATTTACATGTAAATTCATCCTCTCATATGTCTCCAATATAGTGTTAATACAGTCACGTTTTGGCACAAAGTAAACGATCCAGTGAGAAGAGACACTGAATTGTAACACTGTTCCCTTATGTAAAGTAATACTTCTCTCCTGTGTGTGTTCAGAAGACGTGGTATTTCAACCTGGATCCCTCCAGGGTCAGGATCAGCGGTAACTGTGGCAAAGAAGCTGTTGATCTCTCACTCACGCTGCCAGACCATGCTGCCAGTCTGCAGTTCACCTTCACAAAGGTACAACACATTCAACAACAAAGAGGCTGTCTTCTTACACTGCAGGTTGATGAAAGGGCTTTAAAACTGTGTGTGCAAATGTGTCTCTGCATCCAAACTACTTTATGTGATAGGAATATAATTCATCAGAGCATCAGTGAGTCCTCTAGCTTCACATCTAGATCAAAACACTCACAACAGATGATGAAATATTTGTTTACCTGGATCTGTTCAGAATACATGGATTTCTGAATCACCTTCACTCTCCCGTGTTCTTGTCACCAGGAAAATAATTTTTCCTACGTCTCCAAGCTGACTGCTCAGGTGTCTCCTCTGCCTGTCTGTCCAGGATGTGCCAGTAAGACCACATGATAAGAGAGAAATTTAAGACGACAGATATCATAAAGCTTGTGTTTGGGATTTGAAACAACAACCTGCAAACACTGAGACTGTACCTGTCCTTGCCTTTCATCCGCTTCCTCCCAGATAAGACCTACTCGGGTTCGTCGGCCCATGACAAGCTCTTCACTGCAGCTATTGGACAGAGCTTCAAGTGCAAATCTGAGAATCTGATTTTGATGTCGTCGGAGCTGAAGATCAAGTTGGTTCCTCTGCAGATACAGGCCTTCACTCTGCCAGAAGGACAGTATGGAGAAGGTGACTGAGCTCTTCAATCGTTTGGGGTTTGCTGCACAAACTTAAATGAGTGTAGGTCTCTAGTAGCTCTAGAGCTACAATTTTCATATTGAAATGGTCCTGAAGCTCTACAACATATTGTTTTTCAGACTAAATTCAAAATGCTCAGTTTTTTCAGGCACAAAAATTAATATCTTTTTGTATCTATATGGACGTGTTCTCTAAAGTTGGATCAGGTAATGTTCTTGCTTGTAAAGGTCCAGTGTGTAGGATTCAGGGAGGTATATTGGCAGAAATGTAATATAATAGAGTAAGTATGTTTTCTTCGATAAGAAAAAATAAGGATCATTTGTGTGATCGTTTTTGCATTTTGCGTGTCGGCCACTGTAGTTAGCATCCCCTCAGCAAGGAGCAGTGTTGTTTAACCAGCTTAAATCACAGAGTCCATTTGTATAGCAGACGTAGAGATCTCGGCAAATAATTCAGCTCCTGGCAAAAACCTCCTGAACACCTGGATCATAAGTTAAGAGTGAAAAATAGGTGAGCACACATTAGCAGGTGTCTGCCATGAGCTGATCAGTGTCAGAGAAACACTGGTTTGTAACAAGAAGCTGCTTTATTAGTATTTTTACCAGTTTTACTAACTTGGTCTGTTCATTTTGGAGAGGAAGAGACCTCTGTGGAGAATATGGCTCACGGTAAAAACCTCCTTAGGAAATCCTAAGCGGGAGTTTATGCTTAGTATGTAGAAGAAGATTCAGCTGGTTGCAATTTGCAGTACTCAAGGCTAAATGCCACTAAATCCAACACACTACTCCTTTACACTCTTAAAAACATCTACCAACTCTCACTAATAGCAATAGTTTTATAAACTTACCACAGTTTAGCTTCTCACAGGGCTTCATCGCAGTCCTCTAGTAGGGCAGTCATTTAGCTGTGATAAATCCAAATGTCTCAGACAGGAAGTTTTAAACACAGTGGTCACCATCGGTCTACCCAGTTTTATTGTCTTTATTTCTCTTAGACGTCTGGATTTTGCCAGACATAATAAATAATATGGTGGTTGGTGTCCTTTTCTTATTGATTGAGGAGATAGGCCTGTGTGGATATACTGTGAGGATGAGATATAAGAGAATCAGATGGTGTGATAATTAGTCCCCTTGGACAGTGTTTAAGCCCAGTGAGAATCAGCTGCAGAACCTTTAAGTGTCCTGAAACTAAAGCGGTTTAGTGCTGCTGTGTACCAACTATAAATGATGGAAAACAATCTCTACACTGCATCCTTTCTGCAGGAAACCTGAGAGGTTGAAGTGGTAAATGAAACACATATACAAGAATTTGATCAAAGTGATCAGTGTGTGTGTGTGTAAACTGTCACAAATGTAGATTCATCAGCTCATACCTTCCTCATGTTTCTGCTTATTTGTCTACAATAATTCTCCTTCTTCTTCTTCCTGCATTTTGCTCTCCTCTTGCCGTGTGCGTCAGAGGTGGAGTGTTGGGCCGACTTTAACAAACAAGTTATTCCCATCATTGTCGGGGCCATAGTGGCGGGTTTCCTTCTGACCCCTGTCCTGATCTTCCTGTTCATCAAAGACCGTCGCAGAGAAGGATACGACAGGCTGTGAGCTTGTTGTGAAACTGGACAGAGATTTACGTCACCTCAAATAATATTTCATTCTCGGTTACTGTTATATAAAGTTCTCAAAATTGCTCCTTGAATTCTTCTAGTAATAAGAAAGATGTCTGACATGCCTAAGTATAAATGCAAACAATGTTGTTACATATATTTGTTTGACTATTCTTTATTTGATTTTCAAAAGTAATTGTTTTCTGTCTTCATTTGTGTTGTATCTGATATTTTTGCTTTTAATTTCAGTCTCATTCTGCTGTCAGTGAAAGGTTTTGTTCACTTCTGACTTTTAAAATACTCCCTTGATTTGTTGCCTATTCAACAATTATTTAATAAAAGAGGAATGGGCTGAAAAAAAGCTATATTGCCCTTACAGTAAATACACTAGCAATATATAGGAACCAGACTAATTGTATAATGTGATTTATTATAATATGTGACTCTTGAACTTAAATTACAGAGTACTGCAAAATTGAGTGTTGCAGCTTCACTGTTCTTTATCAGTGAGGTTTGGTTGGCTAAAGTGATCAATTAATACCATTATATCTGTAATATTCAAAAAGGGTTTAATTTTTTATATCTGCAAAGGTAATACAGTGCATAACTCAAATATATCACAGTGTAGCCAGGATTGAATCTTTTTTCCAAATAATTTATATTTAAGAATTTCCATAATGCTTTACAAGCAATTTTTATTTTTCTCCCTACAAAATAAAACGAGTTTTATGTTATTATTGTGAGTGTAATTGTTTTTATATTTCCTGTAATTCACCTTCAGTTTGACAGAGAAACGCTGCCCTCTGTTGGTGATATGTGGTAACTGCAGCGTTATCCCCACCTCCACATCCCTCTATCTCATTGGTTGTCGATACTACGAGGCCTTGGGAAGGTCAAAAGTAATAATACAGATATTTACACGCGTGTTACAGTGGTTGGTAGTGTGAGTGCAACATTTTAAGACCCCAGATGTTTCTCTCTGGTAAAGTTTAGTGGCTTCCTGCAGTTAAACTAAAACTAAACTGTCTATGAGTTGTCTAATAAATTACCACTTCGCCTTTTCCTCCACAGCCGGTCATCAGTGTGTTAGCTACCTAGCTAGCAGCTAGCCTCAGCAGCTGGTAGCTATGGCTGCAGTTATTCTGAGTTTCCCAACTCTGCAGGGTCTGAGGATATTTACACAGTGAGTACATTAAAGCCTTACATCGCCGTTATGATTTTGTGTGAATACAGGGTGCCCTCTTTCACGTTATTTCCACCAACCAGCTTCTTTTTACCTGCTTTTAAATGTTAGCTTACAGCTAAAGTTTGCAACGCAACTACATCAGGTCTGAGCTAACTTGTGCAGATATAATTGCCACACATCACACTGTAAATTATCTGCTGGTGTTTATGATCCCATATGTCGTCAACATCACATTTTTTGTCTCCACGACGTCAACGTGTTGATAACATGTTTTTCCATTTTGCGAGTAAGTGAATCAGATAAAAGCTGAGCAAGGTTAAATAAAGGTAGCAAACTGTCTGTTAGCATGGCTAATGTTGCTGATAGGTACAGCATGCACACTGATGTCTACCTGCGACCAGCCTTCACTGAGTATCACATTCAGCTCCGTGATTTAGGCTGGTTAGTGCCTTACTGTACGTGCTATTTCATAAACAAGTATTTTCTCCATTGGGCATCCGCTCTGCCCTTCACAGCCATGTAGAGATTTAGATGGCACTGAAGTTGTTGTCTTGTCTTCTCCCCAGAAAACTGTCATGGACGAAAAGAGGCGTGAGGCTCGCTTCAGGAGGTGAGTGAATAATCTCAATATTATGAACAAACTGCTGTATTTCATTTGAACCTCTAATTGAAAACATTTGTTGAAGAGATGTTACACTGTTTTGGACTTCAACTTGAAGTCCAAAACTATGGAGTTATGTTCAGTTGGGACATGGTAAATATATACATACCAGTGTTATGGTGATGTGGGCAAAATAAAACTGTAGTGCTGCAGATGTTATTTGTGATTCTCTTTTGATTATTCCAATGATAGTTGAGTCTATAAAATATCAGAAAACATTCTTGCAGCCCAAATCCACAGTGCTTGATTTGTTCAACCAGCAGCCCAAAACCCAAATATTCACTTTTAAATGATATGAAACAGAGACAAATATCATATATTTGAAAAGCTGAAAGCATTTATTAGTTGGTGTTTTTGCTTGTTAAATGAGTTAAAACAGTAATTGATTATCGAATTGTTATTGATTTATTATTGTCCTACTGTTTATTAGGCTCTGTAAATGTTACCTGGCACACACTGTGGATCCCTAGCCACTGTCTGTGCTGTGGTTGCTTTGTCAGTATGGTTGTGATGCATAAACAAGTTCAACGTTATTCCAACAGACCTGTGACAATGATGGTTGCCAGCCTTTTAAAATGTTTTCTTCTTCTGACTTGATTAGTGAGGTAGAGACTATTGTAAACTTTATTTTAAGATTATACTGGTTTTGTAAAATCTCTGCTGTGTCTTCTCCAGGGGTGGGAAGGATAGAGAAGGTGCTGATTGCCAATCGAGGAGAGATTGCATGTCGTGTGATGCGCACGGCCAAGAAGATGGGCGTCCGCTCTGTGGCTGTGTACAGCGATGCTGACAGACACTCCATGCATGTGGCCATGGTGAGATGCTGAACAGTCTTTTGGCAATAGTATTCATCTGCTGCTCAGTCTGTCCTCACTGTTTTCGTCTATTCTTTCTGCAGCTGCTTTGATGAACTCATTGAGGCAGTGGTGTTACAATAATTAATTGTTTACAAACTTGCATTAGTTATGTTCAATTGGAAATAGATTTTCGCTTTGCTTGCTTTTATATAGGCAGATGAAGCCTACCGCATTGGCCCTCCACCCTCCCAGCAGAGTTACCTCTCAATGGAAAAAGTTTTGGAAGTGGCCAAGAAGTCTGGCTCACATGTGAGTAATCCTCTACTCGTTGTCAACAGTTTTATGAAGAGAATTTCTGCTTAAAGGAGCTATTTCCAAAAGAAATAATAGATAATGATGTTCAAAGCCCTTCAACTGTTCTCCATGTTGAATTATTCTTCTTAGACCAACAAGGGGCTTTGACACTGTTAAATGTGATGTCTTAGACAATGTGTTTGTGTGTGTAGGCGGTCCACCCGGGTTATGGCTTTCTGTCAGAAAACACAGAGTTTGCAGAGGCGTGTAAACAGGAGGGCATCATCTTCATTGGGCCACCTTCCTCTGCTATCCGGGACATGGGCATTAAAAGGTAACACACACAAAACAGTTCATTTATATCCTCCCTCTAGGTGTCTCTAATTAACATTTAGTAAAAAAAAAAAAAAAAAAAATTGTGTTTCTTGGTACCTAGAAGGACTAATGTAAATGTTTTCATTCCTTGTAGAGCAGTGATACACTTATGGACTTATGATAGGGTGCCAGGTGGTCGGTTGACTGTTTTCTTCAGTACTTTGAATGTTAAAAAAAGATGTCAGAGTGCATATAAAACATATAAAAGCTAACCTTTGTGCCATTTACTTTTCTTGCTCCGTCTCTTTTTTAGCACATCCAAACACATCATGTCAGCTGCTGGAGTGCCAATCATTGGTGGTTACCATGGAGAGGACCAATCAGATGAGAGGCTGCAAGCAGAAGCTGCCCGGATAGGATACCCTGTGATGATTAAGGCAGTCCGTGGGGGAGGAGGGAAGGTGAGAGGACGTGAAAAGTCTGAATAACTATGATAAATTGACTTCAGGTAACATTAAATAAACTTGTGTGTGTGTGTGTGTCTGTGTGTGTTAAGGGGATGCGTATTGCACGGTCAGACTCAGACTTCTTGGAGCAGTTGGAGTCAGCTAGACGAGAAGCGAGGAAATCCTTCAACGATGATGTCATGCTGGTTGAGAAGTTTGTAGAGGATCCCAGGTGATAATAATAATTCTTTAACACACTCAGTCAGTTACCGCTAACCATACGGTTCTACCACTTGTTATTCTTATTTAAAGATTAATTTGTCCTTTTATTTCTCTGTCTGTCTGTCTGTCTGTCTTCTGTAGACATGTGGAGGTTCAGGTGTTCGGGGACATGCACGGTAACGCTGTCTATCTGTTTGAGAGAGACTGCAGTGTCCAAAGGAGACATCAGAAGATCATAGAGGAAGCACCAGGGGTGAGTGAATAATGGTGGTCAGTTGAATTAATACTGACTGAGGAAGGAACTGTAAGAGATATCGGCAAATTGATACATTTCTCACATCAAGCTAATCATAGACTGACATGAGGTTTAAGCTCTGAATATGATGAGCCAGTGTGAGTGTCAGTGTAGAGGAAATGTTTGTCCAATTTGCAAAGAGCTTGTGAGTCATTGTCTTGTAAAATGACCTCTTCAAAACATTGGAAACCTTGGTTATCAAACGATTTCCGATATGAACAAGATTGCACAAGGCACTGGAAATCTGTTTCTCCCAAACTCCTTAATTTACATTCAGCTAAAGCTCTCAGTCTGTAGAGTGAAACAGGATAAATAGAGCAATGATCGCTTGAATATATTTGTGTCAACTGTTGAGTGTTTCACTGTGTTTTCACTCTGTTTCTATATGTATTTTTTCAGCCTGGTATCAGTCCTGAGGTGCGGAGGAAACTTGGAGAGGCAGCAGTTCGAGCAGCCAAGGCCGTCAACTATGTAGGAGCAGGTGAGACACACACTCACCCTGCACACACCTCACCACACTGCCTCAGGCCCAGAACACACAGTACATTGACATTATATTGTTTGTCCTCCTGTGTAGGTACGGTGGAGTTCATAATGGACGCCCAGCATAATTTTTACTTCATGGAGATGAACACCAGGCTGCAGGTGGAGCATCCTGTCTCTGAGATGGTCACTGGGACTGACCTGGTGGAGTGGCAGCTCAGGGTGAGAGAGGAGGGAGGGAGGGAGGAAATGCTGACAGCCAGTTGAAAACATTACCTATTGTCAGTAAAAAGTTTGGACTGTTGTCACATTGATTATTCTAAAACTCCTCCAGGTGGCAGCAGGGGAGCGTCTGCCTCTTCTCCAGGATGACATCATTTTACGGGGACACTCTTTTGAGGCTCGCATCTACGC